AATGAACTATAAAAACAGCAAACAATGCCGCATACATTTACAATGTCTTGCCCTTTCTCATAATAGTGTCTGTGGTCAAATTAAAGAATTTACTAAATAAATAATTAACCTGAGAATAAAATTGTTAACAGAAGATAATGAATGCCTACTAAATAATTAATTTTATCTATGTTAGTTGGCTGCGAATATCAAAGGAGAAAGGCAAAACATTTAGTTCTACACTGTCTTGCCAAAATCTGGCCAATACGTAAGTAAAATATTAATACATTTATACTTAACAAGTAAATTATCAAAATTTTATTTGAAATATCCACAATCTGGAAATCTGAAAACAGCTTCTTTTGTTTCAAAAAGGTAGACCACGGATTTAAATATATTCAGGATACAGTCATTTGTTTTCAACTGAGTCTCACATTCTCTTTTTCCAAAAGAACACATTATCTTTACCTGACTATTAGAAGAGCTTCCATGTCCCGAGGCAGCATTAAAGTGAAGCAACTGCAAACAGGACACAAGGAAAGCAGTTATCAGAATCAGAGGTTACCGGGAGAACAGTTGGCAAGAGGTTTTAAAAATTAAAATATTTCTTTCCCAATACACTTGTCTAATTGCCATTCCAAGGTCACTAGCATCCTAGAGTGGATTCTCTCCACGACTCCAAATGAGCATTTATAGGCTAGGAAGGAGAGAAACATGCTCTGGTTTTAATTTTTTTATTACATTTTCTTCATTTTCTACATCCTGATCTCTCCCAGTTTCACCAGGATTTGGAAATTTGTGTTAATTTACATAAATGCAATAGTGACATTGCTTCCAACTAAAACATGCTTGATGGTCCACACACACAGATGTTAGTGCCTCAGTGCACACCCCTCTTAATTTGAAACGTAATAAAAATCCTATTTAGGCAGCTGAGCTCCACGGTTTTCAATAGTCAATGAAATGGGACCACAATCCTCACTACCACCACAATGTAACTCGAAATACTTGTGGAAGGTTTTGTGATGTATGGAATGAATAAGCCTCTTTTTGAAATGACCTGGCAGCTATAATTTTAACATTTGGGCCAATATAAATTAGGTTATCCATTCCTGTGTTCATTTAATACTTATTCAAGTTTTACTTAACAGATTTTTTCCTTTTTTTTTTTTTGCAATTATGGAGTCATGGAACCCATCACCATTTCCTACCAATAATTATTCCTAAATTTCTTTTTTTTTTGCGACAGAGTCTCGCTCTGTTGCTGGGGCTAGAGTGCCATGGCGTCAGCCTAGCTCATAGCAACCTCAAACTCCTGGGCTCAAGCAATCCTTCTGCCTCAGCCTCCCGAGTAGCTGGGACTGCAGGCATGCGCTACCATGCCCGGCTAATTTTTTATATATATTTTTAGTTGTCCAGCTAATTCTATTTTTAATAGAGACGGGGTCTTGCTCTTGCTCAGGCTGGTCTTGAACTCCTGACCTCCCGCCTTGGCCTCCCAGAGTGCTAGGATTACAGGCGTAAGCCACCATGCCTGGCCCTAAATTTCTTTTTTTTCAAATTATTTTTATTTCAGCATATTACGGGGGTACAAATGTTTAGGTTATTGCCTTTGCCCCACCCAAGTCAGAGCTTCAAGTGTATCCATTTCCCGGATGGTGCGCACCGCACACATTAGGTGTGTATATACCCATCCCCTCCTCCCCCTTCCCATCTGTATTATTTTATATAGAAAAGCATTAAGTTTTACTTAAGTTACATGGATCCTAAAACATTATATCACCACCGTTTGAACACTTACAATCCTTTCTCACCTCCTCTCCCAACCCCATATCTTATAAGGTTCTCAACATGTAGTGCTTCCCCTAATTTTCAAGCTATTGATAATATAAATTCATAATTATTTGAATACATGCTTTATTGTACCTAATAAATTTCTTTGAGCCCAGAAACTCAGGTTTTCCCTGACTTTTCTATCTTATTCTTTATAACTCCACATTGCCTCATTTAGTTCAGGTACTCATTCGTATTGAGCAAATTTAAAAACTATATTTTGTGTCTCAGGCATGATTTTGATTAAGAAAAGACCACATTAGTCTGACAGAGGATTTTTCACGTAGTGATATGTATGTAATAACAGTTGTGAAATACTGACTTGTCCATTGGTGAACAATGGAGTTAGTAACTTGTCACTGGGAAAGAAAGGTTGAACAGGACCTTCCACTTCCTTGGAATTATTTATTTTTGCTTCTACAGGGAGGAAATAAAGCCATACTTTGGACAATATCATTATAATTATTTCATTTTTTTTGCTTTGTAATATCTACATTAGAAAATAGATGTTTGCCTCTCAGTGCTCCCAAAATAGAAAGGAAAAGTTGCAAATGGAAGTAATCACTGTCAACCATCTCAGTGTAAGGAGACGGAAAGTAGCAGGGGCCAGCTCCTGTCTGCTGACCTTGAACTTGGGTGGTCCCTTTGTACCTTTCTTTCCTAAAATAAGGCATCAAGAATGGGAGGGACCAGTTCTCTGATCTTTGAAACAGTTCAGGGAGAAAAGTTTGAATATTACATAATATTGTCTTGAGTAAAATATAAATGGCTTTACAAAATTACACAAACATAAATTATAAAATTTAAGTTGATGTCTGTTCTTCAGAGTTTTAAACCTTTTACTCACTACAGTCATGCCTCACTTAATGATGAGGATATCTTCTCCCAAAGGGGTCATTAGGCAATTTCATCATTGTGTGACCATCGCAGAGGGCACTTACACAGACCTAGCTGGTACAGCCTACTACACACCTAGGCTCTATGGGATAGCTTGTTGCTCCTGGGCTACAAACCTGTACAGCATGTTAACTGTACTGTACTGAATACCGTAGACCACTGTAACACAATGGTAAATATTTGTGTACCTAAATGTATCTGAACATAGAAAAGGTACAGTAAACATATTGCATAAAAGATAAAAATGGTACACCTGCATAGGGAACTTGACATGAATGGCGTTTTCAAGATTGGAAGTTGCTCTTTGAGTCAGTGAGTGAGTGGTGAGTGACTGTGAAGGTCTAGGACATTGTTATATACCAGTGTAGACTTCATAAACATTGTACATTTAGGCTACACTAAATTTATAAAAAATATTTTTCTTTCTTCAGTAATCAATTTACATTAGCTCACTGTAACTTATTTACTTTACAAACTTTCATTTTTTAAAAATTTTTGACTCTTTTGTAATAATGATACTTAGCTTAAAA